GGAATGTCTGAAGCTACACATAAGCACCTAAGATAGTTATTGTGTTACATATCCCTGTTTTTTCCTCTCTCATTCATTGCTAGTTTTCTATTAGTTCAAAAATGTGGTATACTTACAGCACAATCTCTTTCAATTAAAACACCTGAGTATATTTAAAATTGCCATTGCCCATTCCTGTATCAACAAAATTCCAAAACAAACGGGAAACTAAAGCCATCATTAAAAGCATGGGCAAGTAAAGAGTTTTCTATTTGGTACACTTACGCTGAAACCTCAAAATTGGAGAAGGGAAAGGGAGAGAGGAGAGGAGGGAGGGTCAAGTCTAATTGCTTTGACTTGGCTTAGAAGAGTTGCAGTCCTCATTCTTCATTGGAAACATGAAAACAACAGTGCTTATGACTGGGCTAAACAGAAAATGGTTGATCCACAGAATGGTAATTTTAGCATTAAAATTGCTTGCTGGCAATTTCTAGCCATTTGTAGCTGTTGTTGCCAGCAAGTGCTAACAATCACCAGGAGCCAGATTCCAGCTAAGCCTGTCAGCACTTCAGTTTTTGGCAAACATTTCAGAGATAATGTTTTGACGCCTCTGTGCTCACTTGCAGTCCAGTCAGATTAGAGATCACAGGTTGAAGTACACTGCACTATTGCACTCTCTACAACAATTACCCTCTGTTAGTCTTTTAAATGAAGGAGACCAGCACTGGTTTGGTATCTTAACAACAGATGTTTCCAAAGTAGCAGACATTTACACTCTGTACTTCACCTGGAAGATGGATCACATCCATCTCCACACTCGTTTCCACAAAACAGTCACTTGCATACTGATAATCTACATTTGATAAGCACATGACTTCAAGGCCATTCAAAATGAGGCACACATCTTTTCATTCAGCTTTAGCATATGGAAGAAAATTCTGCCATTTCACTTGTACTCTGAAAAGCCGGAGAAAGACATAGTCTTCCAGGTTTTGGATTTATTATCATTTGCCTAAAGATTTGAAAATTAAATGAGAGAAAGCCCCAGAAACTAAGAGCCAATTCTTTTGTGGATTAAAATCCAAATAGCTCTACAAAATTTTAGAATGCAACATTGCTTTCACAAACAAATGTCTGGCCCAATATCTCCAAGCTGTGCAAAAGACATGATTTAGTATGGCCTTGGTGTGATAGGACAAGGGTAATGGTTTTAAACTAAAAGGGTGCAGACTCAGACTAGATAATAAGGAATTAAGTTTTTACAACAAGCGTGGCAACGGGCACAGAATGGTGGTAGATGTTCCATCCCTGCAAATATTCCAGGTCAGGTTGGACAGGGTTCTGAGCAACCTGATCTAGTTGAAAATGCCCCTGCTCATTGCAGGGGGCTTGAACTAGATGGCCTTTAAAGGTCTCTTCCAACTCAAACTGTTCTACGATGTGCAGGAGAAATGGGTTTTCCATTGGAACATGGGAAAATTTTAGTACATGACCTTAAGATTCAGAAACCTTTCACATCAAGAAATGCAATGGCAGAAGTTCATTGCCAGGGCACCTTGTAGCTTTATTCTTGTACTTAGTTCAAACTTAAGTTTCAAAATACCATCAACCTCAGTAGCCACACCCAGTAAGGCTAGATATATTTCCTTCACAGAAACCCAAGCCATGTATCACAACCAAATGAGCAGCAAGATTTATTTAAACAGATAGGAGGAAAACAGAAGCCAATCTCTAGACTGTAAATTTAATTTTTTTAAAAGTTTAAATCTTCTGGATGCAAATGCAGTATGAAGTTTTCAAACCCCACGTAAGTTCAAAATGCATATAGTTGTTTCATACACTTTGATACCTTTGAAATTATTGAACTAAAGAAGTTCTGTCATATAAACAAATCCAACTCTTGGAGTCAACAAGAGTTGCAGTTGCATACAAACTGAATAGGAGCTATTATACAGTGAAACACCAGAAGGCATTTTCCTTTCTATTTTAAAGCTGGCCTCAATTTTTCCATGCCTTGGCAGGTTGTTTTCACAGGATTTAGTGATTTGTTTTTAAAGCAAAAAATAATGGTAGACTTTGAAATCCACTGTCAGAAAGCGTTTCTAAATTTGGGTGCACGTGGTCTTAATCATTGCACTGCATCGTACACCGTGTTTTAAACCACTGTAAGGTAACACCACTGTAGAGGGGGACCTGTTTTACATTAACACGAGCAAAGCAGAAGATACCTGATCACAGGATGCAGGGCAATAATGAGATGGTGCATGCTCCAAGAAGCAGCATTATTTGCTTACACACAAATATTTTCCAAAACAATAACATTTTCTAGCTATTGGGTAAATAATTTCAGGGTGCCCATCAAACATGGGGTACACTTCAGCAGTCTCCACAGAAGAGCTTCACACTCTCAATCACATTCCTAGTTAAGCTTCAAACCAAACAGTATACAACAGCAAATAAACTTTTCCCCAAACCCATGCTTCCTTTTGCACTGCATCCATATTTCATTGTTGAAAACAATAAAACAACTGAAGTTCAAAAAAAATCAAAAAGATATTTTGAAGTAATTTTGAACGAATCTGAGCAGAGTCTTTAAACCTGCTCCCCGTTAGACTGATACACCACTGTGCTACCTGACCTATTCAAAAACATCAAAGAAATATAGAAGTACTTGTATACAGAGCAGTTGCATTCACAGAGGATGGAGGTGCAAAGGAGGGACCCTTTTTAACACTGGCCACAGAGATAAAAGCAACATTTCTTCAGACAACATGAGCAGGCTGGAACTGCAGGCTCCTGTTCAACACAAGCCAAGATCTGGCTACTAAGCTGATGAGGCTCCTGGGCAGGCTGAGACTGCCAAGCACAAATTGCAGCAAAGGCTCTGGGCAGACCAACCACAGCAGGAATGACAGACACTACATGCTAACCTGCCAAGGTGATCCCCCCTCAGTTGTCCCTAAAGCGTTCAGCCTACATCTGGCCCACACAAGTGTTTGGGCAGCATTACTCATGTACTATACCTGTCACCATCTCAAACAAGGGTTGCATTTTCAGAGTTACTTTCAAGTTACTGGACTGAACACAAATAGATTTGCTTTTTCAATGCTAGTTTCTTATTTCTGTTCACTAGAAACTCCTTTTCCAGTCTATTTGTGAACAGGAGAACATGGCATGTCATTTGGCAGAAGAGGTTGTGTCCTATCACACTGCAGAAAATTGCTAAGAGTTCACAGAGCTCCAGTCTTAGACTGTACATGAAGTTTCTTAATGAAATGGGTTTCTGCAGCAGCACATTGTAAAAATTCTAATTAAATTAAAATGGAGAAATATCCTAAAAAGGGTTCATCCCGAATCTAGCCTCTTACTCTCTCTCCTCACCTCCAGTCTTTGTCTCTCAGCTTCTTGTGGCCTTTGTCAGACTCACATTACCTACTGCAAGTCTTTTGCACGTTTCCTGCCTGACTTTACCCCAGAGGAAAAGCATTATTATATTGAACTCTGGCCTTCTAAATGTTCCCACTTGAACATGTATTGCACAGGAATATGCCTCCTTGCCACAGCAGCTGGAAATTTCAGACCGGAAAATGAAAAAGATTTTCAAGAAACTAAAATAATGTGTGATTAACCTTTCTAACAGCCTATCAAGATTTGTGGCAGACTTCCAACACTCACATGCCTTCAAATCAAAAATTGAGGATTAAAGATCAGCAATCATTTTAGCTAGTGGGCATGATGCTGGAGCTATCTTTGAAATATTCCTACATGATATATAAGGTCAGGCAGTAAGATTCCTCCTAAAATGTACAGAGAAGCTTATCAGCCTGTAATAATACAGAGAGCTTTAATTATGGCAGTGTTGCTTTACAGATTTCCAAGGAGAAGACGACCATGTGTGTTTTGGCTGCTCAGAACTCTATGACATTTTTCAACAGAAGGACAGAGAATTTTTTTGCTTCATCAATATTCTTTGGACAAATTCTGTCCAAGACTGCCTTAAGGAAAAAGTGAAAAAAATATAAGACTAGAGTCTAGATAGATTACTAACAAGATGTGCCCAGGATACGAAGTACAAAAGGTATCTTGTTTGCAAATCAGCAACGAAAATCAAAACAGAAGGACAATAAGGTGGCTGAAGTTAACACAAAGTAATAAAATTCATTATCCTCTGGTGATCCCAGCAGTATCATTCAGGCAGAAAATAATTAAGTATCTTTTATTTTACATGGTTGTTCTTAATTAGTAGTCATAACTTTTTAGGTCATGCAGTTACATCCAAACAAATAAAATGCCTTTTTTTAACCTAGTACAAACAGTAATTTCATGTAACCTAATTCAATATGCTGTATGTTCTGATATTAAAAAAAAAATAATAAAATAAAGACAAGATTGCAAACAAAGCCCAGACTAGAAACACTACATGTATACATGACCGGGGAATAAAACTGTGAGATATACTAACATATTAACATGATATCAAAACAAACTACTGCTGTCACTTGAAACTAACAATAACGGGTATCTTGCTTTCACTCAGAAAGGTACACTCATGTTGTGATAATACGTAAAGAAGCGAAGCTTATTAAAGTATAAGGGTTACGATTAAATTATCTACATAATCTAAAATGATGTCTGAAGAGTGTATTACTCTCCAGAGTATTTTTGTTTTCTGACAGCTGCTTAAGCAAGCAAGCTGTACATTGAATATACTGATGATGAAGCACTCATCAGCTTAAACTGAAGCACTACTTTGCCATAAACTTTTGCATTGCTTCCAGGGCATTGTTTGGGGATTACTTTTTTTTTTTTTTGGTAGCAAGATGACAAGCAAAAAACTTAAAAACTAAAAGATTTTTAGTTGAAAAGAACGGCCACCCCAGCGAGGTACTCGGGTGGTTTGTGCCTCGCCCCAGGACCCCCTTTGCGCCAGGGCAGAGAGGTGCAGATTTCAGTGCTGCTTTCCCCTACACAGTGTGCCTGTTCTGTACAAAAACAAACCCAAAACACCGTGCAAAGCACACCTCCAAAGGAGAGCCAGGATAAACTCACACCACCAGCTCGCCCCGTCAGCGCTCTGAGCAGAGTTCAGCGCACCTCCCTCGCCGGCCGGGCGCACCGCGGGCGCTGTGGCTGTCACGGCGGTGACAAGGAGGACCCCGCTCAGGAGACTTGCCCTCCGTGGCAGCCCCCACACCTGCTGGCAGCACACGTCCCCCCGGGAGCTGCGCTGCCACATCGAGCTCTGCTCGCTGTCAGACGTGTCACAGGGACGCTCGGGCAGGTGGAACTGTTGGGCAGTTTCCATGGCAACAGCCATCCCAAACTGCACCGCAGGGCAGAGCGTGACCGCATCCCTGGGGCTCGCGGCTCTCCGGACGAGACACTCCAGGGTCAAAGGGCTGCCAAGCACCTGCGGGACGCTCATGTTGATTCCCCACTCCCCTCCCACGTTCTCCCAGCTGTGTCAACTCCACTCTATCCCTGAGCATGTTCCCCACACCTGGTTCAGGGCGGCAGCTCTACCTGGGGCAGAGACACCCTCAACAATCCCATTAACTTTGTCACGGTTGCCCTAGACTGTTGGATTTGGTTTTCTGCGCTTTCATGCAATGCTCCCACCACAATGTCCATGTGTCCCTGGAGCCAGACTCTTTAGGGGAAGGGAAACATGGTACCACCACAGCCCAGGGCCTGGCTCAGCAGGGTGAGGTGGCACAGCAGGATTCCAAAGGAGGAACACATAGCAAAACCAACACCAGAAACTCACATAAAAAGAGAAGTGTGTGAAAAGCAAGGTTTTGACAGATAGAGCACTCAATAAGTGTTGATCACAGCATAGTGCAAGAAGTGGTGTTGAGGAACAGGCCCAAAACCTGCAGACAAACCAAGCTGTATAAATAGCTATGTTGCTTTAAAAATGATTGTTCCTAGAGGTGACTAACAATCAAATGGATTCATGAACCACAAGGTTTTAGATAAATAAATGCTTAACCAAGGATTTACTGTAATATTCATTTTCCTTTCTTAGCCAGTAAGTTATCAAATTCTGAGAAGTCAAAATTAGTAATGGAAAATGCACCAGCAAATCTCCAGAATCTGACCATTTGTATGACTGCCAGTACTTTATTTATTTTTTTAATTGGAATGATGTCAAGGAGCATCCCTCTCTGGTACAGAGCCATACCAGTGCAGCACAGACACTGAGCTGGCACGCAGGGCAAAAAGGGCTAATTGACTTGGACAAATGAATAATTCTGAGAAGATCATAATGTTTCTTCAAAGTTTGTTTATGTTGATAAAAATATGCTGAACTGTTCACTGTGCCTTTCAGGCTAGGCAGCTGCTGACTCAGCTCTTTCTGCAAATTTTAAGTGATATGTTTTCAGGGTAATTTGCCAGTCTAGAAACCAGTCAAGTCATTGCACAATTAGCTTGTGAGATTAAGCTGTCACAGATCATACAGAGGGTCAGTCACCAAAGTATTTAAATACATATTTACTCTGTTGTATTTCAAGTTAGTTTGATATGCTAATTTCCTTATTTCCTGCTTCACTTCTGTGCTACCTAAAATAAACCAGAAACTTGGTATCTTATGTAAAAAAACCCTGAAACCTGAAACAAAACAATTTGTGTTCTCCAGTAAAGCATCCCATGGGATTCCTGTAAGCTTCAGTAGGCATATTTTTTGAAGAGACAGTGGACTAATAGGAAAACATTCAGCTCATTTCAGTAAGATCAATAGGCAAGGCACAATGTAGTTACCTCTTTTTCCAAGTTATTAATGATATATATTTCAGTTAAATTTTCATACTGAATTTTTTTCTTTCTCTTTTAATATTAAAAATTCTATATTCATATGGCACTACAATTTGATCTCAGTGTCATACAATAGTATGAAATACCTACAACACCAGTGAAGAAATGCTCTTTACATAGACCAAATTTTCCTTATATTTCATAGGAAATAACCAATGTCTACATCAGTTGAACAACCAACATACAAGCAGCACAGGTAGAACAGTAGCCAGCTAAGATCAGATCTTGGGAAGGAAAACCATAGAGAAACTCACTGCTGGAGAATTTGAGTCATAAAGACTTCAGTCCTGCAACTGAACACACTATTTTATTACTGTAACTCTCACCAAGCCAGTCTGAAGCACCTTTCCCCCATCCCTCACCCCCTGAGATCAATGCTGTAAAGAGCTGGATGAGACTCAGAATAGAGCAGTTCGCTTCAAAGACACTAGAATTTCAACTATTTTATTTAGACATCTTTGGTTACTATCCAATGGTATTTATCATACTAAGAGGAACATTCACCTATTTACTATTCAAATACAAGCTTCTGAAATTTTACTATATCAATTTAAGCCTCTTTCCAAGTTTAACTACAGGTTTTTAGTACTGCTGAGCTCTGTCAAATAGTCATAGTCTATTCCTCGTAGCCACTTTATTTCAGTGGAAAGATAAATTATCCTTTTTCACAGTGTAAAAAAAAATTTTTTTACAATGTTTTACTAAAGGTAATATTACATAACTAACCTTAGGCAAAGAACCATTAATGAAAAAATATTTTAGAAATTATGTATTGCTATCAAGACTGGAAACATTTGCAGTTCTGAAAGAAATTTTTTATTTCTTTCTAGAGAGACCTGGCCTATGTTAAAAAGGCTGTTATTCCAAAGGGGAGAGGTCACTGCAAGAAAGCAGCAGATGGGAGAAGGAGAAAAAGGCGAAAAGAACATATGCCTTTTGGATTTACTGATCTGTGTTTTTCTATATAATCCATAAAATATGCTCACTGGTAGACCCTTTACACCGGTGAAATGAAATCAATCTTCTTTAACATAAAACAGAACTGCATTTACTGTGTATTTTAAATAGTAATTGACTTTGAGATCATTTGGGAAAATTAACTAAATTTCATTAAAGAAGATAGTATCTTTAACCAAGAAGCCCCAGAAATGATGGGCTGCCATGGGCAGTAAGTATGCACACCAGAGATAACAAACACCCTTGTAGGAGGCAAATTGATTTTCTGCTTCTGTGAAGCCTAACAAATGGTTTCTACCACATGCTTTGTTCCCAAATCACTCTTAAACCAACTACCATGTTTGTCAGATTTAAAAAAAAAAAAAAAAAAAACCAAAAAAAAACCCAAAAAAAAAAATCAGATGTTTATCTTTCAAAACTAGTATCATCTTATTACACCTCTAAAAGCACAGCTACTGCACTAGAAAGCTTCTCTTCATCCCCCTCATAACAGAAGCAGTTTCTAAAGATATTGTCAAGCATAATGTGATGATTAGAAATGATTGACTAGCTTTCTGTCTTCATACAATTTACTTGCTCCTGATTTATTATTTATGCAGTCTTACACATATAATAAGGGTAGACAGATCCAGTACAGGATTGACAAAACATCATTTCTTTCCTATTTGCTGAGCTAGCTTGTTTTGTAAGAACTATCCTACTAATATATAGCTGAAGCATGCTGGCATAAGTTCCTACTTGTCTCTTCATGTGCTGTGTAGGTACTTGTTATTTAAAGCAGATTACTGTCCATAAGAAAAATAATTCATTTGGATCCAGTAGAAATGCACTGAACTATAGAGCACACTTGTCAGAGAGATTAATGTAGACCTCAGTAATAAGATTCACCTCAGCACTAGGGTTAAGCTCTATCACACCCTCCCTGCAGACAGACCAAGAAAGCTACAGCAGCGGAACGCACCCACAACACTTCCCTACGCTGAGGCCAGTAAAAGCTAAAAGGCACACACAGCCCAGACAAAACCAATTAGTCACTGAGGGAAACCCACTAGCTATCTTTGGCAAGCTTTAGGCAACATCTCTAAGTTGCTATCAGGACTGCTCAGCTAGGTAGAACCCAACACGTCCCAGGCTGTCTGGTTAGGCAGTCCCAAAAAGTTGCTAAGCCAGTCTTGGATCAAAAGTCAGTTTCTCAGCAAGATGTACTTTAAGTGAATACAATAAATAGGATTAAAGGGAATAAAATGAAGACAAACACAGTTTGTGGGTGTTCCATGCTTCTTAAAGATGTTTGACTGCTGTAAGCACCCAGGGACACCAAACTGCTGTGCTTTAAATATGATTGAAGCTGAGAAGAGAGAATGAAGTGTCTTTAGTTCATTGCTCCCCATGACAAGAACAGGTTTTGCTAACGTAAAGTTAAAAAATAAGGAAGCTGCGAATTTCCCCCAAGTGGAAATTATTAAAATGAAATAGTCCTTAAATAGGAACAATGGATCCCCTGTTGCTTGGAGAATTTCAAACTGCACTAACCAAAACAACAAAGTTGGTATGTAGTAATTTTCTACTGTCAGGGAATGGTTCTAGAAGAGGAAGAGAATCTTTCTGGTTACAGTGAATTACTATTTATTCAATGAGTATTAAAACAATGCAACTGTATTGAAGCAGTAACAAGCTTGTGCGATACTGGAAGGGAATGGTAAAAGACAGAGATGTTCAGGTCATGTGTTGGTTATGCATGTTGTCATGTGCTGTCACCTGCAGAGGATAAACTGCTGCAGGCCAGACTGTCCTCAGTTACACCTCTGCAAATCCTGCTGAAAGCTAATAGATTTGGACAAGTTTATTCAAAGTTGTCTTTTAAGAAAGAAATAAATGGGGACAGTACAAATTTAAATGATGGCATCATTTAGCCTGTAGTGCTCTTGCTAACAGCAAGAGTGTTGGGAAGTATACACCCTGGCTTTCAGATCTGTAAACATCCGGTGATGTTTACAGAGCTAACAGGGATCAGGGAATGTCTTTTATTCACAAGCAGAGCACAGCTGATAAAACTCCATGATGAAACAAAAAGTCTTCTAGATTCATTGACATCTTTACAGGCAGAGCATAACCAGGTTTCAATTAGGCTTGAGAGATTTTTTCTCAAGATAACTACTTCTAGAAGGCAAAAGTATACTCTTTTGTAGTCATCCCCTGTCCATTATGGCATAGCACACGCTCTTTCTAGAAACTACGTTTATTGAGATCACAATTATTAAAAAAATGAAAAATGTTCATGCCAAAAAGTAAAAATTACAGGTATCTACATAAAAAGTTTTACAAGTTAATTAACTAATCTTAATGATGATGCCACTAAGTTCAAAGTGAAGCAATAAGGATAAGGCATGTTCTGCATGGAAAAACAGCTCATACACTACTTTTGAAGTGTAGCCATGGCACAAAAAGAACAATG